TGTGAAAACGAACTGGACATTTGTCGCACTGACTATTTAGCTACTATGATAGCTCAATAGAATTTACACCTACCTTTTCGTCTTAAATTAAGGAAAAGAATAGCGCAAGTAAATGGCTTAGGTTGCACGGGAAAATAGATTTGATTTGACAAGAACTATAGAACTTCGCGCGCCGTTTATATTAGAACTTATCAGTACTAATATAAACAGCGTGTGAAAAAAAGGAGTTCAGCATGCAAAAAAAGCAGTTCCATTTTTTGTAAAGTTTCAAAGTCAATTCAATCTAATAATCGTGAATGGTTGCCAACAAAGTTGACTCTCCAATCAGTTAGAATTGTTTAGAGATTATTTGACTGACCACAGCTCATCTCAAGTGAGTGTTGTCAAATTCGCAAAGAAGTCTGTAGCTAACGCAGTCGTACAAAAACATCTAATGGCAAAAATCCACTTTTCAACTCCACTTAAAGCAATGCAGTATTCATTTAGAAGATGATCCCGAAATAAATAATAGCTAGGACAAAAAGTCCTCATCGATATTGTATCACATGAAGAACATTTGAATGCACTGTTCTAAGCGAAAAATAGACGGAAAAATGTGCGGAAAAACGAAGCAGAAAGACGAATAAAAACAAAGCCAACAATCCCAACAATGAGCGTTACTGCCACAATGGCGCCATACTTACATCATGCGTAGCAGGAACGAAAAACTCTCTATCAAGTTCTATAGTGAGGGTGAGCGGTTGTAAGACTAGATGCCCAAACAGAGATGAGTACATGCCAGTAAATACTCAGATGATGTCAGAAATCACCAAAAACACTCTAAGAAAACAACAGACTATTGTTTAGATTATATCACAGACAAAATAAGCCAAGAAACGGTGGGAGCATAAAAAGCATAAGCGATAACTCGTCGAAGGATAAAAAACTTCACAGACAACTCCTTTTCCTGCCAAAAAAAAAACTAGTCAATTAAATTTATAACAATCAAGGAGCACATGAACGAATGCAAAAATTTGCTCTTCTCCTACTTTCGTCTAGCTTATCGTAGATGATAGACTAACTAGAAGAAGAATATAGAAATCAGTTATCTCGATAAGCAAGATAGAAGCACGTATTCTAAAGCATCCCAAAGGTGATTAGAAGGAACTTTTGAAGAAATAGGAAGGAACTTGGAATGAAGTTATCATAAGAAATATACAACTATACTGCCAACTGGCAACCCGGATCGAAATCTTTGGAGTAACCAATAATGCACTTATTGATCAACAACGGTGGCGTAAGCTTGTTCTCTTTCATTGATTCGGCTAATTTCCCGAATATCGTCAATCTGACGTTTTACTAGCTCTTGTAAAAATCGCATTTCGTCAGCGTTGAGTTTTGGCTGACCAATGCCATGCAAATCAGACGTAGAGATCACTTGCACTTTGACATCATCCACTAAATCGCATCATAAGAACAGTAACAGATGATAAAATAGAATCAAAAAACTAACCTTTGAAGCCCGCGGTGTTCAGAAGCGCCATTACTTCTTTAACGTCAGCGTTATTCATTATGATCTTCCCATCAAAGAAAAAATCCTTGAAAAAATCAGACCGATGCTTAGTGTAGAGTAGCGCATCCTAGACACAAATTTGAGCGGCGGTACACAACACCGTCGAATATCAAACTCACGTGCTCACGTTTTTTGTACAACAATAATTCAGCCATGGTGTACCATTGCTCATTGAAAATTTGTCGGCTATATTGATTGAAATAGGTTCGCATTATCTGGAACAATATTAACAAGTTGTTCTTGGAGAAAAAAAAGCACAAACGAGAAAATGTTAGCTGGCTGAGAGCCGGGTTGACCCAAATCATATTAATCCAAAAATTCAATAAAAAGTGCTCAATCTCTAAGGTAATTCGAATCCCCTAATAACACTTCTCCATATTTCTCGTAAGTCACCGCCCCCTAGAAGAAGACTATCTGAGTCAGAATACAGGTAGTTAACATAATCTTATTCGGGAACACAAGATCTAAATGATGATCTCGGCTCTGCTTATTTAACTATTGCCATCTTCCTCGTTGGTTACCAGATATATCCATTTTTTATTCGAAGTTAAGATGGAGAACTAAAACCCGTGCAATCTAACAAAGAACAAGGATCCATAGATACCATTTTTGCTCCTTTGTTTTCGTGACTGAGATAGTGATCAGAATTTGATTTTAATTTTGGTCATTTTTTCAAGTCTTTCCAAAAGCTTGCAACAATTCGATAGTTCCGATGTGCAGTTTCTTAACCAAGTCTCGCCATTTGCTTCCATCTCGACTATCTCTCCTAATTCACTGTCACTAAGAGTACGATGACGGCTATGCAAGACGTCCTTCAAGCTGCATTCTTTTAAACGTTAATCAATTGCGAACCTGCAGCTCACTAACAAATCATAGGTTACCTACACAGAGCCGCGGCTCCGGCCACCCTATTAGAGGGTGAGTGAAACATTCACAAAGCTTGAAAAAATTTTGTTCGAAAAGAAGACCCGGACATTGATTTCTTTTCACTTGTATTTTGAAAGGTGTAGAGAAAATTACATAGTTCTTTGAAAACATGGGAATAGTGGCCTACCTATTTTTTTTACATAAAAACTGAATTAGAGAGATAGATGCGGAGTTTTTCCCCCATTGAAATATAAATACCCGCAATAAACTGGTCTTCGGTGATATTGTAGATAAAATAGACATAGGTAAGACAACTAGAGTATCATATACTCTTCTAAATGATAGTTACGACGTTTGGAATTGAACTATGCGAGAATAGAGAAAATGAAGTAATTTTTCGATAGGACTTGGACATTAGTGTCAGCTGGACTCTCTATGATTCTGAGCAGAAAGACACGGATGTCGGAATTTCTTTAAGTATGACCCGAAACCCATCAGAGCCAAATCGACTTTTCATGACATTCGCTATGCAACCAACCGCCTTACAATTTGGCTCTGGTGCCCTTCATACTTGCAAATTAATTAGGTAAATCGTATTTTGTTACGAAGGTCTTAAAAGTGATGAACAGACAACTGTGCACATTCTCCTTTTTTTCGAGTGGATGAAAAAAGAAAAATGATCTTTTGCTTTTTCCCACTTCTAGGTTTCGATAGTACAACTCATCCACAGTGAAACTGGTAACTACGTAATTTCCAATTAACCAACAAACTCAAGGACGCACCAAAAACCCATATTTCTTCTTCTCGCACAATTTCCTGCTCCTAGCTTTTCCATTCAAGATGTTCTCCGGGGAGAGGCTGAGACATGCGCAACTCACAAAAACCAGTAAATTGAGGAAAAATTCCAAAAAGGGCACAAATCTGGTGATCCATCAAGAAAATTTCTGACAAAGTGATGGCTTCCGCAAACGTTGAATTACATCAAATCGGTTCACATGCTCACTTTTATGTTTAAAAAGAACTCCATTCTCCCCAGCTCACTAGACGAATATGCATAAAAAAGAAAACAAAGAAAATAATGCATTTTGAAAAAAGTTATTCCGCTGATCTGTGATGAACCAGGAGGACTTGCCTGGCTACCATAATATATTGAAAACCAGCAACATTTTTAACGAGACGCCTGAGTCAAAATCACTACGCGTTTGTTGTCCTGCCTCTGGGCTTTCCTGATCCCCGAAAGCACTGCGCAAGGTGGGTGACTGTGCTTCACTTTCTCCCTGCTTAAAATACAGTAGTGTGCAAAACGAAGTTCAAATTTTTGTTGTGTCTTTTCTAAAGCTTATAAAAAATTTCAAAATGACTCGCTCTGAAATATATTGTACCTAGGCAATGCGCCGCTTCGCGGCTTTATCTAGGAAGAGTGTGCGTATAAGTTTCCTCCGAAAGGCATCCGAAACCTCCCAAAAACAGAAGAGTTTTGCAAGATGAAAATAAAAGAAATGAGATAAGGAAAGAGAAGTGATTGCATGTCAGCACAGGCGCGTTCCCTGTGCTTGGAAAATCAGTAGTGATCAGAGTCAGCGCGCCATATGTCTTCGCGCACCGTGATGTTCCTTTGATATGCGCTAAGAGTAGCAAACATACATATGTTAGAGAGCTAAAAGCAAAATTTGCCCACTTTTAAAGATGTACTGTTTCAGATTGTATCATTTGTGAGATATAAGCCAATCAGAAAGGAACCCCATGCCCTTCTTAACAAGAGAATTTCGCTAAAAGTCACCAATAGAAGCTGCATCACGACCCCAGACGAAGCTCCGTCTTGAGGCGTTTGACCTGAAAAGAATAACCAATCTAATGAAACCGGGAACAGGTCTGTTGACAATCTAAGAGGTGTGCTGACCTCCTGCCAAACATTAGGCGATTGTCACATTGCAAAATTTAATGTTATAAGTGAATTTCAAATATCTGCGAAATCTCCGCCCTGTTGTTGAATCGAGTAGCCGTGGTCAGGCGGAGTCAGCCACTCTCCGCAGTGTCCTCAGAAGGGCGATTTGCTTACCGATGATTGGAGGGAGGGGGAAGGTTCTGCGACTTATTATATAGTAAGATCGTGCCGCTCATGAATGTCCCTCCCAATGATATCATACATGCTCACAAAACTAGTACACAAGCTGCTATGAGAAACCCCAACCTATGATATCCTACACCAAAATCCAAAAAGGAAGTTTAAGTATGAAACAATGAACATACACTAAGTAAGCGAGCGTAGTTTTTCTTCTTATCCTCTTCGGACCTGCTCCTCTGAACCGATTCATAATATCTAAAAAAAGTGAATTCTTCTAACTAAGGCCTTCATATACATTTAAATGATTACTACAAAGTTGTGGAACAAAATGATAACCAACTCTTCAAAAGACACTTTCGACTTCTTCCCCAAGCCGATGCCGAAGAAGCTAAGTTTGTGAAAGGGTTGTTCCAAATCATATCTGAGAAAATTTCAGACTAACATTGCAAGCGTAAAGTTAACTCACAAACATACCTGATTTGAGCTAATTTGTATGCAACGCACAGACGATCGAGCATTTTCACCATATCGCTTTCTATATTCTTTCGTATATCGTCCGAAAGTGAATCACGTTCCTCCATAAGGATCAGCTAGAAGAAAAACCTTCAAGAGTCTGAAGAAGTAGACACCAAAGTTTGATAGTTCAGATAAAACATCTAATATTATAAAAAGGGACTCAGCCAGCACCTTAGCATAACATAACATTTCCTGATAAAGATGTAAGTATAAAGATAAACTGAATTATCCATGCACAAATAACGCAGGTTGATTATCCTAAATAGTGCCAATTACAAAATCATGCTGGTAAGGATTTCTGCGCAGGTGCTATGGGATGTAACAAACCGAGATTGCGAAAGATAAAAAAGTATATGAAGAAAAGATAAAACTAAGGAGTTTCAAGAAGTAATATGCAATAGAAGAAATTATTAATAGTCGCATAGAAAAAAAA